ACAACCGCTTTCTTGCCTTGAATTTCTAAAACCTGACCAGCACGACGACTTCCATCTGGTAATGTTAAATTTACCGGCGATACTCTAAAGATTCCTGTATCGGAAGACATGTTGGGCCGTATTTTTAATGGTTCCGGGAAAGCTATTGATAAAGGTCCAAAAGTATTTGCTGAGGATTTTTTGGATATTAATGGTTAGTGTCATATAATAATGTGCGATTCCAAATTTCAAATTTTAAGTAAAGTATTTTTTCAGGGTCTCCTATAAATCCATATTCACGTATCTACCCGGAAGAAATGATCCAAACTGGTATATCAGCCATAGATACAATGAATTCTATAGCGCGTGGTCAAAAGATTCCAATTTTCTCTGCAGCTGGATTACCACATAATGAAGTAAATGTTGTCTTATAAATTTTTTGAAATTTTTTTTTGTTTTTACTTTAAAAGAACTCGTCTTATATGTTTCATTATTTTTATTAGATTGCTGCTCAAATATGCCGCCAAGCTGGTCTCGTTAAAAAAAATTGACAAGGGTGTGTTTGATGATCATGAGGATAATTTCTCTATTGTATTTGCTGCTATGGGTGTGAATATGGAAACGGCTCGTTTCTTTAAACAGGATTTTGAAGAGAATGGCTCCATAGAGCGAGTCACATTGTTTTTAAATTTGGCTAATGATCCGACGTAAGTTTCATACTTCAAAAAAATAAAAGAGATTTGATAGATTTGATAGAATTTTTTTGTGATTAATATACACTATTTTTTAGCATCGAACGTATTGTTACACCACGATTGGCCCTTACTACTGCTGAATATTATGCATATCAACTCGAGAAGCATGTTTTAGTCATTTTAACTGATATGAGTTCATACGCTGATGCTTTACGTGAGGTAAAAATACATTAAGTTTTACTTTTTTGGTGATTCCTTATTTAAAGTGAGAAATTTTTTTAGGTTTCTGCCGCACGTGAAGAGGTACCTGGTCGTCGTGGATATCCTGGATATATGTATACTGATTTGTCTACTATATATGAACGTGCAGGTCGTGTCGAAGGAAGAAACGGTAGTATCACGCAGATCCCGATTTTGACTATGCCAAACGATGGTATGATTATCTATTATTATTATTATTATTATTATTATTATTATTATTATTCCTATTCAGGAATGGTTTAACAATATTTGTCATACTTTTTATTGTAAGATATTACCCACCCTATTCCTGATCTGACAGGATATATTACGGAAGGCCAAATCTTTATTGATCGTCAATTATATAATCGTCAAATTTATCCGCCAATTAATGTTTTGCCGTCTCTTTCTCGATTGATGAAATCTGCAATTGGTGAAGGTATGACAAGAAAGGATCATGGTGATGTTTCCAACCAGCTTGTAAGCATTAAAAAAAAATAAAATAAGCAATCTATGTTATTTCCTGTATTTCATTGTATTTATGTTACTTTTACTAAGTAAAAATTTATTTTGGTTTAATAGTATGCTAAATACGCTATTGGTAGAGATGCAGCTGCCATGAAAGCAGTAGTAGGAGAGGAAGCTCTTAATCAAGAAGATAAACTCTCTTTAGAATTTTTGGATAAGTTTGAAAAAACATATATCTCTCAAGGTAATATAGCTTTTTACTTTGTCCTATTACTATTACTTTATCCTAATATTTTTATAATTTTTT